TCATCTTCATCTTCATCTTCATCTTCATCTTCATCTTCATCTTCATCTTCATCTTCATCTTCATCTTCATCTTCATCTTCATCTTCATCTTCATCTTCATCTTCATCTTCATGTTCATCTTCATCTTCATCTTCATCTTCATATTCACCTTCGTCTTCATATTTATCTTTTCCTTTATCCTGATCTATATCTTCATTATTTTCTCCATTTACGTATTTACCCCCACCATTGTTATTACGTTAGGTAGTTAAATTTTCCTTCCTCTTTTTCTTTATATTGTTTCTTTAGTGATATCATGTCATGTGTTGAAATTGGGTGTGGTGAGTTGCAGTGTGGTGGAATTGGGTGTGGGAGTTACGGTGTTATGAATTCAGGTGTGGTGAATTTAGTTGTGGTGAGTTGTGGTGTGGTGAGTTAAGGTGTGGTGAGAAAGTTGATGTGTGGTGAATTAAGGTGTGGTAGATTAAGGTGTGGTGAGTTAAGATGTGGTGAGAAAGTTGGGGTGTGGTGAATTAAAGTGTGGTGGATTTAGGTGTGGTGAATTTAGGTGTGGGGAGTGAAGTAGTGGTGGATTTAGGTGTGGGGAGTTAAGGTGTGGTGAATTAATGTGTAGCGAACTCAGGTAGAGTAAGTTTTTAAGCGGAGGTGAGATGAGTTGAGGTGAGTTAAGTTAAGTTAAGGGGTTAAGTTAAGATAAGTTATCTTTATCCTTATCTTCATATTCATCTTCATCTTCTTTCTCGTCTTGGTCTTCATCTTCTTCTTCATCTTTATCCTTTCCTTTATCCTGATCTAAATATGTCCATTCTTTTCTTCATTTACATATTCACCCCCACCATTGTTATTAGGTTAGGTATTTAAATTTTCCTTCCTCTTTGTCTTTATATTTAGGTTTCTTTACTTTTATTTTAATTTCTGTATTTATCCCTTTCTTCTTCTCCATACTCAAAATTATCTTCATCCTTGTTTGAGGCTAATCTATTCATGTACATACATACATACATCTTATTCCTAAACTGCTGCTTAGCACGTTTCTTTAATTCACTATCAATATTAAGGCATACATTTAGGAGGCATTTCCGCCCCAACCATGTACATGTATGGCATTGGTATTGGTGTGACTTTTGAATTGATTTTTTCGCTCTATTTTAAACTAATTTGAAATTTTAAAAATTGCCTGCACATCAGCATCAAAATACCTTTCTAATGATATATAATTGTTTATACTTTAGAAGTACAGTTTAGCCGTAAAAGGGGTGTAAAGGAAACATGATTGCCTATTTATATAATTGATTTTAATTTTAATTTTAATTTTTGTTTTTATTTTAATTTTTATTTTTAGGTTAATTTTAATTTTATTTTAATTTTAATTTTAATTTTAATTTTAATTTTAATTTTAATTTTAATTTTAATTTTAATTTTAATTTTAATTTTACTTTTAATTTCAATTTAATTTTAGTTTTAATAGTAATCTTAATTTTACTCTTATACTTATTCTTCATTTTAATGCTATTCTTAATTTCTATTTTAATCTTGATCTTAATTTTAGTTTTAATCTTAATCTTAATCTTAATCATAATCTTAGTCCTAGTCTTAATCTCAATCTTATTATTAATATTAATTTTTATCCTTAACTTAATTTTAATCCCAATCGTAATATTAATTTTAATCTTAATCTAAATTTCAATCTTATACTTAACTTTTGTATTCTTAATCTCACACCTAATCTTAATCTTGGTCTTAATTTTAATCTTAACTAATTTTAATCTCAATCTTATTTTTATACCCGACCGCACTTGTGCCAAACTGTGATCATAGATATAAACAAATGTATACATAAATGCTCAGAATGAATAGAGAAGTCGATTAAGCCATGTCTGTCTGTCCGTCTGTACGTTCGTCCGCGTACACGATAACTCGAGCAAAAATTGCCAAGTCTCAACGAAATTCGGTATGTAGGTTTCCCTTTATCCAAGGTAGGTTGGTATTGAAAACGGGCGAAATCGGACTTACAGTCCGGTGGTTACACCACGCCCACTTCCCATATAACGGTATTTTCGAAAAAAGCAAGAACTACGATATTTCAGTAAATATTGGTTCCAAATTATGGAAAATTAGTATGTGTATGTGTAGAATTTTGGTAAAAAATAGTATTATTATTAAATTTTGGGAAAGTGGGCGTGGCCCCGCCCGTTCGCCCGAACTTATACTTTTTTATTTGTTAATTATAATTTTAATTTTACAGCCTTATTCTGTATCACGAACGATAGGCAAAACGAACGATTCGTCTGCAGACGACAACCTCTCTGATTGTGATTTTAAACTCTATCGATCGTCTTCGTATTGCTTTTTATACATTACGTTGTAATGGTCTCGGTTACATTTAAACCGGCTAAAATGATGCCGCCTGACTAATTTTTGAAGCATTCCTCTGCAGACGAATCGTTCGTGATACAGAAAAAGGCTGTTAATCTCAATCTAAATCTTAATCTTAATTTAATCTCAATCTCCAACTCAATCCCAATCCCAATTCTAATCTTAATACTAATCTTAATCCTGATCTTATCTTAGTCTTAAACTTAGTCTTTATCATAATTTTGTTATAATTTTAATCTTAATCTTAATTTTGATCTAAGCCTTATTTTTAATATTAATCGTGTTACTGGAGTTTGGAATCACAGCTCAGAGGTCGTGTTCTCTTTTTCGTTACATCGATGTTTGCATTTACACCGAACCGAACGCAAAGAAGTTTCACTTAAAATATTTTTTTTTTTCGAAATTGCCTTGCTAGGTAGCTTAGCACCGAGCGGCGTTATCGAGCTGACGTCCGTCGACTCGCTTCTCAGTAATTGTGATTTAAAAAAAAAAAAAGCCTTTAACCCTTAAAAGTAATAAAAAAACATAAAAGTATCAATTTTTAATTGAAAAGGAATTTAGGAAATGACAAGAGGATGGAAAATTATAGAAAAGTTACACTGTGGAACAAAAATGAACTTTTGAAAAAGCCTATAGTGCGCATATACCAGGTTTCATAGACTCTTTTATCTTTCTTATTTAAGCCGTCTTAGTTCAATCCTTCGGTTTAATTTAGGAAAGTTTGAAATTTGCGTTTAAATATTAGCACAACAACATAATGAATGTAAGTAAGATAAAATATATGTATGTAGCTATGTAAGTATGTATTTAAAATTCTAGTTAAATCACTAAGTGATATGCATCTTGTTGGTTGATTTAATGGATATTTACATAAACATTTATCTAAAGTTTATTTTTTTACTAACGTTAACAAGTACCCAACAAACCAAATATACACGTATATACATGGGAATTAGACGAGCAAATGGACACATAAATAAGTATGCAGCTTAAATGGCGTTATTAGTAGGATTAACATAATATTTAATATAATATTTCATGAAACAAAAATCAAATTTTATAATGCGTGTTAAAAGTGTTGACAAATAGTGGCAAATCTAAAAAAGAACCAGTTACTGCGTACTTACCCACTTAACTCCAACATTGAGCCGCGGCGTACATTGCGTCGATGGCTGGCCGTAACCGGGAAGGGACCAGCATGAGCCATGTCACCAATATTTACGCCGATACTGTTGTTGCCGCCTGATGAGGCGACTGAAATCGATTGGGAACGCTTATCAAGGCGGGGATTTGAATGTGGCGGCTGTATCAATGGCAGCATTGGTAAACCACTAATCAAAGCATTCGCCAGTGTGGGATCAGAGCCACGTGCTGAACCAAGACCGTCTAAGGGATCAAATAGACTGCTGCCACCCTTCGAACCGCAACTCTCACGCCGGAATAAACCTATGACAGACTTGGGCTGTTTAGGTTTATTGATACCACCTTTTTTTTGAGTGTTAAATTGTAGTAGGAGGTTGGGTTGTTGTTGTTGATGATAGGTGCAAGCGAATCGATTTTTATTTTGATTTACATGATATTTCGAAAGTTGCCAGATGTGGATGTTTGAGTGTTAAGCAATTTTTTTGGTTTTATTTATTTGTTTATTTTTTATGATTTATTTTAGTTTTGTTAAGGTATTAAGTTATAAAACAGAACAAGTCAAAGATTGACAGTTGCATTGTTTTTTGTTATTTTTTTTTTTTTGTACAAACACATTCAACGCAGTTACGTGGAAGAGAAGAAACATAGAGGAAATTGGAAAAAAAGGAAAAAAAGGAAGAAAAAAATCAAACACAATTTTAGCAGGTGTAGGTGTTTCGTACAAATTTTGACAATTGGTGCTATATAGAACTAAGTAATCATAAACTAAATAATTTAAAACTAGAATTCAGCGAGCTTCGTATGTATGTATGAATGCTTGAAAGTATGAGGTGGACATAAATTTTAGTCCATAAAAAGTGGACATAACTTTTTGGCTATTTAAAAACTGAACATAAATTTTTGTCCATAAAAACTGGACACAAGTTTTTAGTTATTTTAAAAATTGCTACATTAAAATCTGGACCTAAATTTGTCAACAGAAAATATTTTTTGGACATTAAAAACTGGACATAATTTTTTGGTCAATAAAACACTAAGGAGAACTGTTGGTTTGCTAAAAACTGAAATCTAGGAATGTATGTAAACGTAAAAAAAAATTTTTACTTTCAAGCGATCATATATAGATTTATATAAATAATTTTCCAATATTTCATAATGCTGCCAAATTAAAGGTAAAGGGTTTAATTAAGATAGTATTAGTTTACAAAGCAAAAAAAATGTGCAAACAAAAAATATAAAACTAAATAAAAATGTCTTAACAGCGGTACTACGTACATTGCTGGCAGCTAAAAAGTCATACACCTCAGAGAAAGAACACTTTAAATTTTTTCTTGTCAGTCTAACGTACGTACGTACGTACGAGGAATGTTAATCCCGGAATCCCGGACTTTTTAAGGTCTCGAAAATCCCGGGATTCTTGGCAAGTAATCCCGGGATTTTCGGGATTTGTAATTTGCACAGATGGCAATAATAGAAACTCCTTTTCTTGACCAGTATTGGCTATATTTCTTTTTTTATTTAATAATTAATATTTTTTTATAAATGTCTAGCTCATTACACATATAACATAACGATAGTAAATTTAAAAAAACACAAATATCAATATTTTCGCGAAACCATGGACCAAATATAGTGAAATTGCGTTTTTAGTTTTTCACTCTGACGTGATGATTTAAAAAATTCAGAGAAATGTGCTTAGAGAAGAAGTATGGTTATAAAATTAATGCGAAAATCCTGTAGAATTTAAACAGATTCAAGTTTCTGGTGCAGAAGGGTTGGTAAATATTGAAAATGTCTTTTTAAAATTTTATCCTTGAAATTTCGCAATATTTGAATGGTATTCTTTACCAGGATATGTTAAGCTTTTTATGATATGAACTTTCCCCAGTCTATAACTGAATGTCAAGTAAGTCCAACGAACGAACTAGTCTCCGTTCACAGAGTTCCAGAGAGACCAACAACTTTGTTCTAGGACCATAAATGCCTGCCTCTCTAACTTCTGGGGTCTTCGAGATATCTAATATGTACCAATGCAGAGTATCGGTCTAAAGGTATTCATCTAAGATTAAGTTATTCCTGGTAGCTATCCTGAACAACTCTATTTTGAACCTTCTCTCGAATATCAAGATCGTGCGTATGGCATCTCTAAAAAGTAGCACTAGTTAGGACTCAGATTCCAGTTTCTCCATATTGTGGGGTGAATTGACCTTTGCATTGCCAACAATTTCTGTGGAAAAATCGTATAGATTATTTTTTTTGGTTGAGGTCACTCTCTGCAAATCCCTGCCGCGGCAGGGTGGTGGTGTCACTACAAATACATACGACATTCACGAGGTGAGAGTCTGTGAAGGAGGTAATAGGCCGACTACGAATGTCATTGTTGGCTTGCTGGCACATCGTCGGGTCCGTTGGTTGATTTGTATAAGTCCGGAAATCTTCGGAGATTTCATCGAGATGCCTTCTGACGTGCCTGGTAGGAGGTTCTGTTTATTGTTTATTAACAATTGCGATTGTGTGCGCAGAGAAGATAGCAAGCTGTAAGAGGTAGCACCTAAAGTCGTTAGCGTATGAGATCATTAAACTGAAACAGGTCGAGGACATCATACTGTGGTATACCCTGCCTATTTTTTCTGGGTTTTTATGTTTATAGGGCAATTCTGGCTAAGAAAGTTGAAAGTCCTTTGCCAATTTTCATGGTGAAAAGCTCTTCTGAAAGAGAGCATGTTCCCAATGGAAATGCACATATCGTCCTTTAAAGTACAAAACCGCGTATCATCACTCTGCAAAACCGCGTAACTGACATTTGCTGCCAAAAACTGGATTTGCTTACATAACCTCTTGACTCAATCCTTATTCATTCATTCTGAAATATACTAGCCAGAAATGCGATTACTTTATCAAAAAGGGAACCATTTTGGATAATGAGTGTTTTTTTTTCTCTAGAAAATAATTTATGCAACCTCACATACGTGGTTTTGCATTTTGTTGATACGCGGTTTTGTACTTTAAACAACGATATGTACACCATTTTGATCCAAAACCCGCAATGACCGAGTGTGCAAAGCACTGACGTGCCATTCGAGAGATTCCAGGTTGAAATCCTTGACCAGCGGTTTTTTTCAAATTTACTTTTTTTAATTTAATTTTATTGTTTAAAAAATTAAAAAATATATTTTTTTTATTTCATTAAATTTTTAGAAACTTATGTTATGTATTTTCTCCTCTGTTAATTTTTATTTTCCTTTTTAATGTAATTAATTAATAATCTTTTAATTTTTAGATTTTAATATTTTAAAAAGAAATTTTTTTAACTTAGTTTAATTTCACGACTTTATTGTTTTGAAAAAAAAATATTTTTAAAATTTTATTTAATTTGTAGAAACTTATTTAATTTTTGTTTGTTTTTACGTTTTTTAGTTTTCTAATTTAATTTAATTTTAAGACACTTATTTTGTGTATTTTTTTCTTTTTTATAAGTTTTTTTAAATACAATTAATTTTCTCTTAATTTATAAAATTTTTGTGTTTTAAAAAGAAACGTTTTTTTTTTAATTCCATCTAATTATTAGAAACTTATTTAATTTTTTCCCTTATTTCATTCCTTTTTTGTTTCTTTTTCTAATTTAATTTTCCTTAAATTTTTAGATGTGTTTCTTTTAAAAAGAGAAACATTTTCTTCTATTTCATTTAACTTTTAGCATCTTATAATTTTTTATTAGTTTTTTTTTAATTCATATATTTTTGCCTTTTTAAGTAAACTTTTCTTTTAATTTTTATATTTTACTGCTTTAAAGAGGAAAACATATATATTTTATTTTATTTAATTTAACTTTTAGAAACTTTTTTTTTGTTTCTTTTTCTTTTATTTTTGTGTTTCTTTTTCTAATTAAATTTTTTTTAATTTGAATTTTTTTTAAGGAAATATTTTTCTTTAATTTCATTTAATTTTAAGGAACTTATATTTTCTTTTTAAATCAATGTTTTTTAGTTAATGTATTTTTTATTTCTTAATTTAAATTTTCTTTTAATTTTTAGATTTTATGGTTTTAAAAAGATTTTTTTAATTTCATTTGATTTTTAGAAAATTTATTCGTAAAAGACAAACAGAATATGGCTAAGATCTCCTCGTTAGTAAATCATTCAATAAGTTTATCGAAAGACAAAAAGAGCTTCCGAGAAAGTTGCCAGAATTGCCATTTTAATCCGAAATTTTGTTTCCGATTGACGACCAAACGATGATGGTTCATCGTTTGAGTCCCTCTGCAAGAGAAGAGTGTGGAATGACAAACGATGCCAAAAGCCTTGATAAGTCCAATGCTTCTAAGGCTATTCTTTCACGGGGACGGTCACTATTAAGACGCCGAGTTATCTGAGTATTTATGGCGTTAAGTGCTGTCGTGACACTGTACACTTTACGGAAGCAATGCTGATGCTTCACAGGGGTCAGGCGGTACTTGAAGTACGAGAGTAACAAGGCCTAAGATCGCAGTATAGAGGTTTTCGTTTTATTTCTGGGATTTTATGATGCAGGACTTAAAAACATAACGGACTTAAATGACACCAAATATATACTAAACAGATAATTGAACAATTTAATATTAGCTTGGGTCATTCAAGCATATACATATACATCGATTTGACTACAATTGCATATTTAAATAATCGTTTATGTCATTTTTTTCATTGTCCAAATACATACATCATTTCAGGTATCAAGCACCCTAGGACTTAACTTAAACAACTAAGCAAAATCATGCCAGCTAAGCGTACTACTTTTTTCTATATGCACATATTTTTTCCCCATACATAAATTTCATATAATTTTTAAGTAATATCCTAAAGTATGCTAAATTGATTGCACTTTTTAAAAATCTTACCTAAAAATGTGGCGCTGGGTGAGTTGTACGCCAGATACTCCTTATTTGAAGCCCAGGCGGGAAACTCGTTTTGTTGCACAGCATCTGACAACTCATCACCCTGTCGCTTCCAGGGTAGCTGCGACTCGGTGGCGGTGGGTGTTGCCACACGGCGTTCACCATCTGAATCACGAGAGATATTGTGATCTTCCTCAGGTATGGGATTTTCAGCAACTATTTTAAAGAAGTTTTGTAAAATGTAATTAAATTTTGAAATTTACACTATGAACTCTTTTTTTTCTGACTAAGGTGGCTAAGCATACAAATACAGATACATATTTGTTAAATTAGGTAAGCTTATTGTATTAAGGCGAAGGAAGGCTGTGCGCATGCAAGATGGGCGACAAGAGACCGATTTCAATGTTTTGTTTTTTTTTGTAAATGTTAAAATGTTGAGTAGCTAATTGTAGTTGTGGATCTCTTGTAACCCATCAATGAAATGTTAGTGTGTAGTTGCAGGTAGTTAACTTTGACATGATTGCAAAGCAAAGTAAAACGTTTGGGAATATTTTGTAAATAAATGAATTTCAAACCCAAAAACATAACTTTAAAATAGCTTAAAACATAGCCATGCACAAAAATGCCATGCTCGCAATAATCGATGTGTTTCGTATTTTGTTGATTAAAACCGATTGGGCTCTATTCAGGTGTATGTATGCAAATGCAATTTGTAAATTAAATTTTCTTTCATTGAAAATAAAAAAAAACTCGTAATAAGTCACAAAATTTTGGTGTATGCTTGAGATTTTTTGGATGTATAAATGTTTAAATAATGCATTTCATACAATTTGGCAACACTGATTTATGCTTTTCTTCTAATCTAATTATTCATGTCTCAAAACTGGAATGCACGACTATTTATGCGTAGTATGGCAACAATGAATGAAGGTTAGGTGGAGGAGTCGGGTTGTAAAATGCGGAACCGAAAAAAAATGCTTCCTACAGCATTTAGCTAATATAGTGCTGATTTTGTGTTATTTAAAGCCAATAATGGCTTATGGTTTTACATCTCAAAGATTTTAGTCTTCTTCGTTTGTCTCGAATTCGGATAGATCCACTTTTTTTTTTTTTTAAATGGATCTCAATTATTAAAAAAAAAAGCCTTGAAATTTTTACAGAATTTTTGTTGACTCAAAACAAAAGACTTAAGCAACAAACCTGCAGACTAAACTACATGCATTTGCACTATATAACATGGCATTGATTATCAAACAACGCTTGGATTTAAAACACACAAAAATGAACCAACCATACAGCTGGATGCCTTAATGGATGGCAATTAAAATGATGGACCTAACAAAGTGCATACGCACATACATAGTGATGCCGCTAAATGCCTACTAATTTTTCTGAAAAAAAAAAATGCAATTGGAAAAATAGGCTTATTGGTGTGGGAAGCTATGAACAAAGTAAAATCTAAGGCACTAAATGTGAGTAAATTTTAAATAATTATTCAAGCGATATATGAATTTGCTCGTATGAAAGCACTACTTTAAAGACCCATTGATTTTCACAGAATAACTATTCTAAAATAGCCGCTAGTTATTAAATATATACTGTTTAATTTATTTTTACAATTAAAATATGATATTTTTTATCATGCCCAATGGCAAAAAGTTATAAAATTAAAGTGGATGACTTGAACTTCTATTAATTAGCTGTATACCAGGGGAAAGCAATTTTGATAAATGTGTTTAGAAAAGCACAAAAATTAAGTATTTAAGTCGAGTTTCCACTGGCATTTAAATGACGAAAAATTTTATATCACTAAAAAATGGCATGTGGAAAGAGTTTTAATGAATTTCGTTTTTAGTTTGTCATTCAAGTTTTTTCTCATTTAATGCACAGTGGAAATATGGCATTAGTAATTGAACAATACTGTCATAAATTAAACAAGAGCTTTAACCAATAATTGTAAATTGTTTTTGCGCAACAACTTTAGTAAGTGTACCTTTTTTTTTTGGAAATATGTATTTGCCAATCCAAGATAAACCGACCAATGGTCGTAATCAACCATTTTGGATTTGGATAAATTTTCATCAGTACTTTTTTAACATATAACAAATTTCTACCAAAGAAAAAATAATAATTTTCGAAAGTTCAAGATTTCACAATTTCCCGGATTTTGGAAGTTTATATTTGAATATCTGAGAAACTATTATAGTTACTAAAATGGCTTTGGTAATTACAGAATTTCGAAATTAAAAAAAAAATCATAAAAGTAAAGACTTAAATAATGAACTTAAAACAACCTGAAATTTCCAATAAGATTTCTTTATACATAGATTTTAAATTTTTTGGTAAAAAAAAAAAAAAAACAGACTTTAAGGGCCAATTTCTGATGAAAATTTAAATGGCACATAAGATTAATTTTGAATTTTTATATAAATACCATATAACTTTCGTTGGGTTCCAGATCAACTTTTTTAAATATGTCCAACAAGTATCAACTCTAGGGTGGTCCAAAATAAGTAAAGTCCAAATTTTTATGCTCTCACCCCCTAATATCGGAAATAATCTTGCAAAATGCCGCAAATTGTAATTTAGAATTTCGCTTAACTTTCGAAAAAAAAATATATTTTTTTTCCTTTGGCAGAAATTCGTTATATGATAAAAGAAAAGTTTTGGACAATATTCATCCAAATCAAAAATTGTTAACTCTAACCACCATTGGTCGATTTGACTATTTAAATTAATTATGAATGTATGTATATGTTTCTTAGCACCGGTGATGAGGAATACTAACCGCTACCGATGAGTATACATTAATGCGTATGCAACTATTGAAATCGTTTTTTTTAAGTTCGATTTGATGGCATGATTTTCTTTTTTAATTACAGCAAACATGGATTTTCTGTGTAACCATAACTAATTACAGTAAACTCAAATATTTAGATCGCGGAAAACAAACACAGATTGCTGCTAAATATTTGCGTCTAAAGCGAGAAAGTACGTTAATTGGATGAGCGTGGTATAAATTTACAATAAAATGCACAATTAAATGAGATAAATGAACGCAAATTTGGTACTGAACGAATAAATGTTTTAGAAAAAATACAAAGCCAAATAATTGGTTTTAGAACAAGAAATTTTATAGAAAAATAATTTTTTTTTTTGAGATTTTTTTTTTTTTTTTTTGTTACGCAGCCAACAACGCTAAACGCCTTAGAGCAACAGATTATACCGAACGACGAGTGCAATTAGTTGATACTTAGTACATAGTTTTGGCGCATTTTTCGAAAACATTTTCATTTCTTGGCATTAAATTCGCAATGACAATGATGCGCATATGTATGTAACATCGTGTGTGAAAGCTACTACATATTTTTCTTTGTATTTGTTGTTGCTTGTGGCGGGTAAATATAATAGTACAAGTAGCTGTAGTTGTTTGAAAGCCTTTACCAATGCATTGGTAGGAACGATCCCGTCGCCATGGCAATATCGATTCGGCCGCTGTCGGGCCCATATCGGGCGTTAATAATTTCTCAGGGCTGCCGTTTTCACTTTTCGGTGCGGAGTAGTGTTGGACGATGCGCGCCTTTGATGCATCGAAACCGGGTAAATTCTGTATGTGTGCTATAAGGGAGTTATTATTGGCACGATCCGAGTCCGCTGCATGGTTTGGTATTTTGTTTTTTTTTTTTTACATAGTTTTGTGGTGCGTATGTATTTTTAAGATCCATTGTTGTTGGGCATTTATATTGTTGGTGTATACAAACATAGTGTTTTTTTAGTTGCCCAGCAAAGTTTGTTTTTATTATTGCGTGTTTGTGTATGCATGAGTGTATATTAGAGATGTTTGTTTGTTGTTGCCAATTAGAGTTTTCATATTTACAATGGGGTTTCGAACATTTCAAATTGTTTAAGAAATTCGTTAAATTTTTTTTTTTTTGAGTAGCGCATGGTAGCAATTGGAACCCGTTTTTTTTTTTTTTGTTTTTTTAGATGCAAATGAAAAAATATAGAGAAGTGTTCGTGAAAAAAGAATATTTTTGTTAGCTTTTTAATATATCGTTGTTGTTTTTTTTTATTTTAAGAACATAGTAGGAAATTAGAAAATAATACAAAACTGCAATAAATTATATAAAAACAAACCACATCCAGATTTATGCAAAAGCAAGTAGTAAATTTTAAATCTTTTGTATTAATTAATTCACATAATTCCTTTAAATAAATTACAACCCTTCAAGACGCGACTATCCGAAACTTCATAATACGCAAAGAAATTTCCTTGAAATCAACTCATATAAAAGAAAACAAGTATAAGTACAAGAAAGAAATCGATAAAGCCCTTACCGAGATAAACACTTGTAAGTGGGCGGTGTCACGCCCATTTTCCAAAAATCTATAGTAATCTTACTTCTGGTTAATAGATCATTGTAATTATGTATTAACTTGAAGAAAATTAGCGTCGTTCGATATTGAAATAGCGAAGTTTTCGTATTTATGAAATTTACCGTTATAAGGTAAGTGGGCATAATTTTAGTACATTTCAAAAATTTTCAATAAATTACTTTTCTGCACCAAGGGAAACAACTATACGGAATTTTGTAGAAACCACAGGACTGGGTGATGGCCGAAAGCCTTATAAACCGGCAATAAGTTCATCGGGCGCTGGCATCAGTACAGAGCTGTTGCAGCAGGACGTAAGCTGAGGGATAGTCTGGCACAGCCTCAAATTCCCGAAGGCCCGGGCAATCTTCATCCCGCGGGCAGGCAAGATAGATTACTCGCTTGCTAATAATTCAGGCCGATAAGTTTCACCTCCTTTATGCTGAAAGCAATGGAGCAAATTATCTACCATGACATAAGGTTTAATGTACTCTCTCGCCGTACAAAAGCCACATTCTAAAAGTCACTCAATATGCCCGTGCTAGTCTGCGGCACAGTAGCATAGACAATGAAAACGAAGACGAGACGAAGGCCTCGCCTGCGGTGGAAACACCAAGCGGAGAATTTAACTTGGATTAGCTTGTCATTTTCAATTGGCATCAGCTGGCACACAAGAGAAACGAGTGGCTACAGATGGGCTGGTAGAGGCGATGCTATGCAATAGTGATAAAACAAGCTATAAATCATATTGAGTGGTTTCTAATATATTTGCTCGATGAGTCGAAGGTCTATGCTACTAGCGTTCCTTATTTTTTGTAAGTTTGTGATTCATCACTTTCTTTCTATATAATAATAAATAAGATAGAAGCAGGTGTCAACTAAAAAGCGTGCGTTAAGCGATAGCGCATATAAGGAAGGGATTATAGCAATTGATTTGTTTTTTGTGTGCACTGCGATCTAGCGATCTAATGTATCCTCTACTGTTCACAATGCTTCCTCCAGACCTACTAAGATCCCTCAAATATAGCAGTAATGCCTTCGGGAGTAGGTAGTGAATGTGCTAAAGATGTGGTCAAATCGAGCCTAGCCTTCTATCACGTTTTCTCGGTGAGAATATTTAGTGGTATCTCACTAGTCGAGTCGTAAAGCAAACATAGATCATTTGACCATAATACCAGTTATATGGATGGCCTCTTAGTCTGCAGTGTACAGTAAGGATACTGGTTTGTATTCTAAATTTCTTCTTTGAGAGCTTAAATAAGTTTGGGATCTCTTATTGTTGTACCCTCCCAGCAGACTTTTTGCCTGGCACAGTTCTACTAAGCCACACCAGTTTAGATACCTTTCTAGACCTCTTACTTTAAAGTATTGCGATCTACTTCTAGGACTGTAGTGATGGCTACAGCCGCTCTTGCGAGACAGTCGGGCATCTCATTGTCTTCTATTGCCCTGGGGCCGGGTACCCATGCTAACAGGATGTTGTTTTGCCTACCAAGGAAGTTAGGTTTCTCAATGTGCTCAAGGGCTAATGATGGCCTAATTTCATATGAAAAGAGAGCTTTGAGTGCTGTCGGTCTATTACTTAAAATTATGATCCTCTCGTTAGGGTACCCTCTATGTATTATTAGCTCCACACACACGGACAGTTTTCGCCAACCTCCGTCTGAAAAATGATCGGATATTTCACCGTAGGGACAGACATCCTAGTCCTGGGTTCGAAGATTACTGGAATTTTCGAGCCTTCTGCGTAGCAGTGTAGGGCGCCAGCTTGGAGAACGTCTCTTGAAGGCAGAGATCTAGTGAATATTTAGCGCTAGAGCGAGCGAATACCCTGGCTTTTCTATGTTGCTAGGGGATATGACTTTTTCTTTTCCAAATGGATTGTCATCCTGGTGATAAGCAACTAGGAAGTGTGCCTTTTCGATTTCACAACTCGTGCAACCTACAGCCATTTGGCGGCTTTAATGAATTTCAGTACGTCATACAAAGGAGGCATCTGCTGAAATATTCTGCAGGAATGGTTTGTCGAGTATCTTTAGCCTCATCCTTGTGAGGACTGAGCACTCGGGCAGGAAGTGTTCGATTATCTCTCTTGAGCCCGAGTCCTCGCAACTGCGACAGAACCGATTGAAGGGAAGTCTTTCGGCATGCACCTCAATGGGCCAGTGCCCTGTGAACACTGTAGTAAATTTGTAGGCATCTTTTTTACTCATTCCTAAGAGAGCTTTGGTTTTAAGTGGGTTGTAAGACACACAGAACTACCGGGTAGTCCTGTAAGATCCAGGGCGGTTCTATCTCTGCTTGGCCTTCGTGGCCTTCAAGTGATAAATTTCTTAATCTTCCTGAGCGAGGCACCAACGTCCACCGCGTGGGACATATTCAGTGCGGAGCCGCTCCTTGCTAGTTCATCCACTGCCTCGTTTCCGTAAATCTCCCTATGTCGACCCATATTAGGTTATTTCGTATTGATTAGAAGTCTAGGCCAGCTCTCGCAGTTATCCACTAGTTGAGATCTAACAGAGATAAAGAGAGTGCCTGAATGGCCGCTTGGCAATCCGATAAGATATTCACCTGCGTTCTCGCGGGTACATTCTCTTTGATGTACCTTACTGCCTCCTTAGGTGCAAACGTTTCGGCATAGAAAACGCTGGAATAGTATGGTGGGCGAAAGGATAACTGAAATAACTCGACCTTTCCTTGATTCCAGTCACTGCGGCTTGGGAATTTCGTGCGGGGTTTGTGGTGAACCTAGGTATTCGACAGGATATAGTCAATGGGCAGCGCTTAAATTTCAGGTAGTAAAGCGTCTAGGATGGAACCGTGCCCGAATGGTATTTCCTTCCAGAACCCCAGGTAACGCAGTCTATGGCGCTGTTAGCAGCTGAGTTTTCGATAAAGATATCTATGGGTAATAAGTCAAGAAAGAGGTTCAAAACGTCCTTCGGACAGGATCTCATTGCACCTGTTACGGTAGCGGCTGCAGACCTTTGAATTCCATCCAGCTTTTTAACTATGTAATCCTTAGTATGGGCTGGCCAAGGGGCCAAGGCGCGCCGTAAGAGATTATGGGACGGACTATAGCTGTGAACATCTAATGCACAATTCTAGGTTTCAGCCACCGTGGTCTTCTTTGCACTCTCTTCAATGTTTGGTTTCCAGTTAATTTTGGGATCCAGAATAACTCCAAGGTATTTCATCTTGTTTGACAGATCCAGTTCCGTTCCTCAGAACCTTAGTTTAGTAAAATCAGGGTTTACGCTAAGAGAATAGTTTATGGCCCAGGAATCTACCTTCTTTAGAGTCTTTTCCATAATTTCACTTACGACCGAAAGAAACTGACCCGATACCAGTATCGCTACATGGTCGGCGTTAGCCACCGTCTTGATTCTCTAAGAGTCTAGCTTCACCAGTAGTTTCTTCAAGATCATGAGCCTTAGTAACGGTGATAGCACTCCTCCCTGTGGGGTGCCTCCCACTGCATATACGGCCCTGCTTTGGTACCCCAATCCGGCGTGTATTACTCTGTTCCTTACACTCAGTAAAAAGTCAGCCAAATATGTTTCTCTCAACACATGATTTGGTAACCATTAGAGAAAAACATATTTAGTTTAATAATTCTTTTCTCAGTGTAGCAGAGACACTAATTAATTCCGGACGCCGTGATCAATCACTGTACCCATAAGTCTTCATCAATGGAAACTATACTGACATTATTAAGTATAATCACTTGCCATTAAAAGTACATAGCTCATTAACAATCTGGATATGGTTTGTTTATAACTAAAATTTATAGTGTCAATATTTGGCAAAACAAATTGCATACTCGTTTAAATTATAAATTTATTTTCATGAATTCCTAATCTTACAAAACTACTTATTGCTCAATAAAATATGCACATAACTACATATGTAGGTATGTAGAAACAACCTCTGTGAAAACCAACAATACCGACGATTATGTACTAAAAAATTTGACTGTGTATGCGAAGAATACTTTTTACTAAGGGCCGAAATGATGTAGCGGGTTATAGCGGGAACTTTCACAGAGCTTAATTTAAATACGAACCTAACTGTATTACTTGGTAGGGCATTACAAGGTAACGCAAATAAAAATGGCATTTTTGTGGTAATAAAATAAATACTTAGCAAACAAAAAGTACTTAGCAAATTAATATTCAACAAACCAAAGTTAAAGATTTCGTTATTAATTTTATAGGTGAATTTTTGAATACATAAATTTTTTGGGCAACACTATTTTTTTCATTCAAAATTAGTAAAATATGTGATTAAAATTTTTTTTGTAAAAAAAAAAAA